AGTTTTTTTTGCGCTTAGGAAAAGTTTGTTTTTTTCAAGAACATAGCTGAATTTTATAAAACTTTACTAAAAGTGTTCAGGCTTGAGAAATCTAAATTTACAGATGGTTTATAGAAATCTTGAAGTTTAGATCTTTCTGTTTGAAAGAATTAGTTTGCAATAGGTTCAGTTAAGCTTTATAAACTTGCCCTAGGTTATGAAAATAGGTGCTCCCTGAACGAAAGAATCGAACTCAAACATATCGATTAACCAACTCCAAATTTGGATTCATTGACCCTAAAAACCAACGATCAAATCATATAAAGTTCAGCTTTTTTCTCAGAATAGACCACTCCTGATCAAAAAAAAATTGAAATGGAATAGCATCAGGTGTTCTTTAATCATTTAGTCTTGAGTTAATCATGAATTAACAGAAAAACTAATGTAAAGGATTCTCTACTAGGCTCAGATACGCCTGAAAACAGTACTAGTAAGATTTTCAGATAAGGGTGCCAAATTTACTCCATTTCGGAAAACAATATATCCCACAAAAACTGTAATGCTGAGTACACATTTTTGTATTCCATTTTAGAATTTTTTTTCTTGTCACTAGACACTATGGGCCTTATATCAGTAGAAATCATCGAAATTTTTTTGTTTTAGGTACAAAAATTTTCATATGGATTATTTCATTGAAACAGAGACAATCTCGTTTTTTCATGAGAGTTAAAGCTGTGCAGGGAAAATTCAACATATTTACAATCTGTGACCTCTAGTTTATGAAAATAATGTTTGTTTTTCCTTAAGCTGTTTGTATATTATGAAGATTTACATGCGTCTAACCTAAGGAAACAGAAAAATTTTGTAAAAAAAACTCTGCTAAATGATCAAATTTTCTAGAAATGTTAATAAAGCATAGAGTTGTTCTTAAATTTGATTTATAAAAGAGCATGTTTTGAAGAATAGGAGTCTTAAGTTTCATGCCTATTCGTTCATTTGTCAGTTCGGTAACAAACATGGCACGACTCTAATAAGAGTAAATTCAGTTTTTTTGAAAAATTAAGTGTACTCAAAAATAAGTTTCGATAGAAACTCTATGATTTAAATTTTCTCAAAAAATGTATTATTTAGCCTTTAAAAATATTCTGTGATCTGCAATTATCTCAATAGAAACATTTGCAGAATAATAACTTTTAATTTTCAGTGTCTATGTCCCCACTCACGTTGACTCTCATTAGAAGTAGACAAGATTATTGATGATGATGCAGTTATTGATGAAAGATGAGAACGCGATAACAGCATTTTATTGAATAAATGTAAAATTTTTGTTTTTAATGTGAATAGAAATGGAAAGAAACTAAATGGGAATTTATTAGAAACGAATAGAAATCATTAAAAACCAGAGAGCATCTTTAGTAATAAGATTAAAAATAGAGCCATGATTTCAACTGATTTTTATTGATTTCCTTGTTTTTCAATAATTGCCTGTATTCATAGTGGTGACTCTTGAATTTTAATAATTCCCCATGATTCTTATTGATTCACGATGGATAGATAAAAACTGATTTCCAGTGATTTCTATCACTGGAAATCTGAGTAATCATTGGAAAGCAAAGAAATCAGTTTGCTTCCCCGTGGTGAATAGACAATTTTTTCTTTTTTTTTTTGTTCTGCTCTTCGGAATTTTGTTTTTTATTACAGATTGTACTCATTAGTCGTAGCTCGTAGCCTAGTCCAGTCCATGATTTTCTTTTCAAAAGAAATTTGGCCTAAGGACTAGGCTCAGTTTAGCACCATTAAGATCTCTGGTGTCACATTGTTGGATGAGACCGAGGGCGTTGCTTCACTCATAACCACACCCCTTTATAGGAATCACCAGTTTTGTTCATAAGTCAGCACTTTAAGTATGGTCATTTTTTTAATTTTCTAATCCTGCTAATGATCAACCTATGAAAATCTAATTTTCTTTAGCTGAACCGATTACAACCAATTTCTTTTGTATAAATCTTAATAAATATCATTGTTAGAATAAGCTTGACTACTTATGCTCTTGTGATCATGAATTTATATGATATGCAAATAAAATTAAACAATAGTATGAACGATATAATTGAAAAACACAATTTTGAAAAATAGTTATGGATCTTAAATTCGTTCATATCCTCAAGAAACACTCGATTTATTGTCATTGTTGGCACATTTGCTTCTGAATTTATATCAACAAGCATAAGACAATTAACTTTTAATGATATAGTGATGCATAATTATAGCATAGTGATCGAATAAGATAACATTAAATTTATTTTCAAATAAAATTCCGGTATGAAAACTAAATTAGTTCTAGCCACCTCCACTCTGTTTATATCGACATCGTTGAGTACACCACAAAACAATGACGAGAGCCAGCACAAACGGATCTTCTTTGTCATGTGTATCTTCGGCAATATCAGCAGAATACGATCCACCCAATACTGGGCATTTCGTTCGATGGATTTTTGCGATGATTTTGTCATCTTTTGTTAATACGTACTCACCACCAGTTAATCCACTAGCTGTCCGATCGATCGTATATTGACCGTTAACAGATTCGATAATGAGTCGGTGGTGCCATGGAGAACCTATCTGTTGGATCTTAGCCAAATGGTTGTCCTCTTCTCCGGCGGCATAGACATTGAAGTAGAGATGAAAATGAGGCATTTCCTGGCGAATTTTGATCAGTTCCGTTTCCTTAGAATCAAGCAGAGTGAGTTTATCACCGAAGGCAAGCAGAGTAGAACGGACTATATAGACAGTTTTATCGTGCTCATCGAGAATCAATAACTTATGTTCTAAGGAGAAATGTTTCTCCTGAATTTGATAATGTCGAGAATGAGCCATGTGTGTCTCTATAATTATAGTATCCTTCAACGCTATTGCTCCTATTTATATGCTGAAGTGAAGGTCTTTCTCTTTTCTCTTTCTATCTCATATACATAATAGAACAGTCGTCATAAGAGAGTAAGTGCAAAATCGTGCGTCATCGTTACTCATGAAAGCATAATGACGACTATAAACATTAGATGCACTGTTGTGCAACGACTCAAGCACAGGCTCTCTTTTTATCAGTTTTGATAAATACTTTAATCCAAGTGCTTGCTAGAGTAACTGTACGCTTCACGAAAAATCTCTATAGAGCATGTGAAACTTACTTTTTGTCTATTGGAATCGCGTCTTTTTTTTAATAAAAATATTGATTTCTCCTAGTAACTCACACGCACGTTCTGTTAATATGATTGCGCAAGATGAATATGCTTAAATTATACTTGTGATGCACAGATGATGAAATCCTAGTTCTTTTGTGTTTTTCGCTCATGAAAAATTCGTTTTCTGTTTGATTTTATTCGATATACATTAATTATTTTCTTGAGTATGTATGCGATGTGGGAAAAATAAAAAGCCTCATCCATTCACACCTACACCCTTTTCTCTCGTCTCAAACGTACTCAAAATTTACACATGGTAAGACGGAGCTATCGGCGAGCAACAATAATACACGTCACCTTTATTTTAATTCTATTTTGCAGCTAGAAGAATATCGTCAGTGCGAGCAATACTAAAAAGGATAATAATAAATTGAGTAAGATCACATTTTTTTTCGTAGAGTGGTTTCTGATGGATACTTGTCTGCAGTGCCCTTCGATACGTCTTCCTACAAATTTTACCTGCAGAGGGCCGAAGACGAAATTCTAACAAGAAATATTTCAAGAAAAAACTGATTCTCAACTTTCTTACTAATAAAAAATGCGATATTAAACATAAGCTCGGATCCTCGATGAGAACGAAAACATAAATTTCAAACATAGACGTCGTTTTATAATGAAAACGAATCAGATTAGTTTTGAATAATGATACGGATATTTAAAAGACAAATAAAATGAAAATATATACTTTGTATTTTGTTCAGAGAAAATTAAAAAAAAGAAGAGTGCTGACTAAAGATGTGCTGAAAGGACTTTTTTGGTCTCTGTTCCAGTAAAGTTTTATTTTTTTCGTCTCGAACATATCTAATGCTGACTCTTTGACTCTTAACACTACGTAAATACATCTGTAGAAAAAATCAAGTATTTAATATGAAATAATTCATTAAATTAATAAATTGTTTCTTGTATGTTTTTGAAAGAAGTACAAAAATGACAAAAACAAGAATAAGTGGAATAAAGGATGAATATAAATCAAATAAGAACAAATATGCTGCACGTATCGGTTTCATACAAACTGCAAAAAAAACAATAATGATACCAAATAAAACGATGTGTAAGCTCATGAAATCGTTGTTGTAGATGCTGCTTATAAGATAGATATGCTTGAGTTGTTTAGTGTTTTCGAGCTGTCATTATGATGATAACAAAATTATTATATTAGTGCAGAAAGGGATAACTCTATATCATCTATTAGATGTCGATGAATTGGATCATGAATTGTTGTAGAAATTATTAATATAATGAGAATGATTCGTCGAGAACATATAATGAAATTTTATTGCGTATTGAAAAAATCAAACTGCACTATCCAAAGATTGAACCGATTACCAGTACCAATGTTAGGCCAGTATTGGACGCCACAAAACCTGATTAGTTCTGTCTCGGGCTTATTCAAGTGATCCGAATGTAAGATAATTAATAAGAGTGTTAATAGAGATAGATATACTAACACCTGTTTCATTAGAGAAGAAGAATAGTTATAATTTCGGTGTTCTTTATATATATGTAATGATATAACAAAAAAGTTTTTTTTCGACTACGACTGAAAAGTTTGTGCTCTTGTAGATGATGAAGCAGAAGTCTGTACTTTGTTCAATTCTATAAAAGATGTGTGCATTTCTGCAGAGATGATATCTGTGCTTTGTTGGATAGTGGAATGGTAATTTGTACATTGTCGATAGTGGAAAAGAACTTTACATATTTGTTGGTGTTAAATCATAAGCTTGTGTGCGATAGAATGTGGTTGCTTTTTGTTTTGACTTATTCTGGTCATTTGTATAATTACTTATTTAATGGTAATATCATCATGTTCTTTAGTTCAAAAGAACAATAGGAAAAATCTGCGTAGATAAGACGTAAGTTAAAATTGTTTTTAAGTTTTTCAATTGCGTCACGGCGTAATTGACGTAACTGTTCGGATTTGAGTTTGTTCAAAGTATCAGTAGAACAGAGAATATAATCTGGTTGATCATTCATAACCAATTTTCGTTCAATAGTCTTTTCATTATCTGTTTGATCGATATCATATTCGACAGCATTCAAATATCGAAATTGTTGTCGACATAAATCACTGATAAAATGTCCTTTTTCTGTTAGATCGTTCAAATTTTGAGTTAAATCATGAATCATAGTTTTGACTAATGCTTCAGTTTTAGTATTAAGTACTGAATGAACTGTTTGCACTGGAATTCTACCACTGCGAAAATCAATTACTAGTTTTGCAAGTTGTTCTATCTCATTTATGTACTTATTTTTCGTATTCAACCAATGTTTTTGTAAGTCAGAAAGTCGTTCTTTCAAATATCCATTTAATAGTTTTGGTAAGTCCTGTTTAAGAGATATTTCTAATTTCATAATATCGTCTCTTAATTGAAATATATTTTGTTCGATATTGTCGATAAGCTCGACAGGTAGAGCAATGAATGTATTACCCGGTCCAGTGTAAGTGGAATATAGCCATTTAATAGGTTGAAGTGTATATGATAATGGATAGTTGACAGTTTTGTTTTGGTTCTGTTTTATATACCGACAAATGTCATACAATCTCTTCATATTCTGTACATCAAGTATATTCGAGTAGATTTTTGTGAGAATAATGTTTTCTAACAGATTTTCATCATCCAAAGTTAATGTGAAGATGTTTTCATCGTCAAGTAACAAATTTCGAATTCGGTGAAGGATATGATCGATTTTCGTGACTAACTTTTTATTGGATGGCAATTGTAGAACTATGATAATATCAATTCCTGTTTGGATACCAATAATAATGTGAGTTGCAACAGTATAACGTTTAAATGATTCATCAGAACTTTGTATCTTTGGTGGATTATTGGAAAATTGTTCTTCTCGATCCAAATAAGAATAGTAGAAAAAACGAGTATATTCATTTATTGGATAAGAATAATCATTGATTGCAGCTATCCCTGTCTTTTCTCTTATATTCAATAATGTACTCAATCTTAATTCATTTTCAACACCAATCATTTGTAAAATGTTTAGTTTTTTATCTTTACTACCGTTTATAATCATACAGTGATTTGATTTTAGCGCTTGACACTGTTTTTCTTTACTGTTCATATTTGCCGTTCCAAGTATCAGATCTTTATATCCATCATAGAGTGAACCAAGTCTTCCTGAAGAGTCAATAGCCTTGCGACTCATAGTGAAGAATTTTTTTTCGTTGAAAGTACCAATACTCTGTGATAGTATTAAAGAGGTAGTTAGTGAATCCGAAAATAACGCAAATAATTTTGGATTTGGTATCTGTGACATATTTGCTGATGTAAATGAAGATGTTTCTGAAGTTCGAAAAAGGGGATATCGAGATTGAGTTTCTTTAATGTGAATAATTTGAAGGCCGTTTCCGGCATAAAGAGACGAAGTAACTGTGAATTGTCGAGCAGGATATAATAAAAATTCATTTTCTGTTTGATACAATGCATGTTGACTTATATCTTTAGCTGAATCACAAATAATATTGAAAATAGTTCTTTGTCCAGCTTTACCAAGATACGTTTCGAGAACATCAAATGATGATGTACAAGATGTAAAAGACCACCAAATAAATTTTTTTCCTACTGGAAATTCTTTTCTCATATTTCTTTCGACTCCTCGATAAAGAATTTTTGGTACCATTGATGGAAGTTTTAACAAAGCAGAAGTAAATAGTCGAAGATATCGAAACCATGGTATTAGTTGACTTCGATTTTGAGAGCGAAGAGTTGAATTAAGAATGTAATAACAAGATTTTTCTTTAGGTATCCATTCTAATGTATATAACATAATTGAAGCTGATTCATCTTCAGTCAAACCATTTTCTGGTTGATGACAATTTGCTTTCACAGTCCAAACCATCTGATTAATATGTGGCACAATAGAAATAAGTGGTTCGACAGATTGTTCTAGTGAAACTAGAGGTTTCTTCTCAAATCCTTTTATAGGTAGAAGAATACGTTGTGGTTCTGGTGAGAAATCACAAATACGAACATGGACTCCAGTAGCATCACTATACTTCATAGCCATTTTTCTAAATTATTTTTCAAAATTTGTATTTTATCGATCTTCAATGATTCAAATGAAAGAAATTATTAATAAAAGGAAAAAACTTGTGACTTTCATTTTATTCAAAACAAAAAAAAAGAAGTTAGAAATAATCACTGAATTAAAAGTAAAACATATATTGAAAACATTGCCTTTTGCTTTCTGCCAATTATGAAACAGCTCTTTTTTTTTTTGTTAAATATTATCTTCATGAGATCTTTTTCTTCATACTACTAACATACTTCAAAAAGATCTTCAACATTACAATAAATTTAATACTGATACGAGATTGACTACATTGTGACGTACACTGACCCTCTGACTAGTATGAGATTCATCAGTGTATGTGAAGGAAGCTCAAGTAACACAGCACAAAACTCAGAATCATGCCGATCTTCTATGAAAAGCTATAGTAGATACTACTTAGTTGTAGAAAAGATATAAGACTTCCGAAACTGTCTACAAACAGAATCATATACCTCAAAGTATTCAAAAGATAAGAGTATTCTTATTAGATTTTATTTACCTTTAGATTGAAACTAATCTGGATTCATTTTTCACTACCAGTTTAAAAAAGTGGAGTTATTCTCTTGCGTTTTTTGTCCAACATTATTTCTTTATGCTTCCTTCTGTCAACAACATTCATAATACTTACGGTAGAGAAAGACACCCTTGAAGCTTACTAATATTATTATCAGTTAGTTTTTAAAAATGCAGAAATTCTTAGTTTGTAATTTATTCGTTAACAAATTACTATATTAATAAAATTAAGAAAATAATCTCAATTATAATACTTTCAAGTAACATTAAATAAAAAATATGACTCATGTCAATAATTAGCTATATCTTGGTAAAATATTCGTCATGATGAAATATTACTCTTTCATTTACAAAACAAACCACTACAATCATTTGTAAAGGTTTCAAAAATAATTATCAAAATGAAATTTTAATAAAAGACTTTGTATTATTTCTTATTAATAAAATATACCTTAGTTTGTTTATTGTGAGCTATTATTTTTCTATTTTTTACACTGAACAAAATGAATCAAGTTTGACTTCGATATTTGCTTTATAATCTCAAAACATTTATGGAATAGTTTACAAACATTCAGTATTATCAAATAAATAAATTTATATTAGAAATCTGATATATGTTAGAAATATTCTGTAATACTTGCATTTACAAACATATCTTCAAAACTATTTAGTGGAAAGATTTGAATGAAATTCATCAATTTTTTTCTTCTTCTAGATCAATAAATAATAAAAACTCCAAATATAAGAAAACTTACACAACCGATGAAAATTTTTCAAATGTCTGAAGAATCGAAATTTTATTTGTGAATATGTTTTTTTTCTATTTTGTTTTATTGTGCACAACGCACGCCCGCTGTTCGACTGAAGCAAAAAAAGACTTGCACAATTCTTTTAAAATCGAATACTACGTACATATTCGTTACTTCCATGGAAACTATGTGGTTTTTTTTTGCGCCGGTAAGAGCTGCAAACGCCAGCTGACACCGCGAAATCTTCTAAATGAGATAGAGTTCGAAACGAATACTATAGGGATATTCGCGGACATCCATGGTCACTCTGATTGTTACTGGTACAAGATATTTTACACTTAGAGATGATCATAGCTATAATTATATGTTACAATTAATACCAAGATAATGATGGGTGTCTGCGGATATGCTTAGTTTTTTATAAGTATCCAAAATTTACTTTTAGGTACTTTGATAATTATGTCTAAGATATATTTTATAAGTAACAATCAATAATAACCATTGGTATCTGTATTTATGAAAAGAACATACTTCAGTTGGAAACAAAAAGAGCAATGCTGTGTTAGGATTTGTAGAATATTCATTTTGAACTTTAGAGTATTTTGAAGCTTTAGTGTCGCTCATGAGTGTCCAGAGTTTTTTTCAGATATTATTTTTGTTTAATATAGCAGATTGTAGCATAGATAATAAATATAGAGATTATTTTATTGATCCGAGTATTTTTAAATAGTTCATAAAAGAATTATTGAAAAATGATTGATTAACAAACAAATGCAAAGAAAATGTTTATTCATGTTTTCAGCAAATGTTTATTTGATTATAAAGTTTAGTTGGCTTATTTAATTCTCCTTTTGTTTTACAATTTTGCTTTTTTAATCACTATTCTATAGATAAACCATAAGTCTTATTTATTTCTATATAGAGTTTACAAAAGTGTTAAACCGTATGTGATGAAATCAATCTTTGTTTATCGCTCATCTCAATCGCGATTGTTTCATAGTTGTAAAACAAAATCATATTTCATTTCACATCTGTAGAAATATTAACTCTATAATATTTATCTGATATATAATAGTGCTCAAAATGGACTATGCATTCAGCGGATCGTCTTGTTTTTTTTTCTAATATCACACGATAGTTTCGATTGATTCGATTTCAGTTTTCCGTGAAGTATAGCCCCAATTTGATAGTTTATCTGGTCAAAACATTAGCTCTGCACTTCATCTATCCGTTCTGTTACAATAGAAATCTTAAGCATGATTTGTTTTCAATTTCTCTTAAAATTAATCATACACTCCATACATAATGGTTGAATATTGTACTTCGCAATTCATTTTTTTCAACTGCAAGACGTATTTGAGAAATGTCTTATCGACTTGATTTGTTTTTTTAGTCAAAATATTCGAAAGAGATCATTGTTAGTATTTGTGATTCGGTAGAGTTAATATATATAATATAGAGAGCTGATATTTTGATCCGATAAACTATGAAAACGAAGCTACATGTTGGCGAGAATCGCAACTTGTATATTAATCTGATTGCAAATAAATGTTTTCCTCTCATTCTCACTGTGTGAATCCAAGCAGACGAAAAACTCCATCAGTATTATATTGTTTGATTGAACAGTTTGATTATTAATATATAACAGCAATGAACAAAATTCAACTTTCAATTCGAATCAATAAATAGAACTCTATCGTTTAAACCATTATCAGAGAGCAATACCATAAGGTATGCTGAAATATCGTCAATAAAGTTATGACACTATACTTCTTATAACATCAGAGGCACTCTGTTCAAGTATAAGACATCAATACATTCCAATTTTACCAAGTGTCATATATGATACTTTTCCAAACACTAGTTATTCATGAATTTCCAATCTAAAAACTTTTCGCACGGAAAAATCAGAATTTCGGCTCGTTATTAAACTGAAGTCATTGATCCCTAGAAATTTCTCTTTGATTCGTTGCTAAGTATCGTACTGCTGAGCAGGACGGCATGGTGCTCTGCGACATGACGTGAGTGCGAGATGTGGAACCAGAATGTGGGTGAGAGTGAGTCTGAATGCCCTCTATTCATTTCCACGCCCACGCCATCTCGTTGAACACTGCGTAATACTGCTAGTACTATGCCATACTGCTGAGCACCATGTCATCCTCCTCAGCAGTACGATACTTAGCAATGAATCAAACAAAAATGTTTAGGGGTCGATGAGTTCAGTGTGATGGCCGGTGGGAAATTCCGTGGACGAAATACATGTAACCCTTTCGAATCAGTAAAAACAATGATTTTTTAAATGATTACGAAATATCATGACATTCTGATAAATGAAAAACCAATCATTAACATCAACTACAGCGATATTTGGATGTTCACAAGTCTACTAGCCTTGTTCATTCCTTCACGTAGCTAACTAATTGTTCACGAAATGTTTCTTTTTATATATAGTCGCTCAAGGTGTATTATCCAATTTCGTAGATTTTGTCGAAACTTCACATTCATACAGTTTCATCGTTATCTTTCGTCCTTCGTTGACAGTATTCATTTGCTCACGCATCATTGGGTACTCCTGGATTGTCTTGATTAAATTATAAATCTCTGATAAGTTCATTTGAGTTTGTTTACGCTCAAATTCATTCAAGTATTTCTCGTATTCTTTACTTAGGTCTTTCAAATTGTCGATCAATTGCAAATTCAAATGATTGGGATTCTGATTGTCACATAGGTAATTTTCTTCGCTTATCATTTGAACAAAGCNCGAGGAAGCGTTAATTAATTTTAATAAAGCTTTAAAAATATACAAAAGCACTTCATTATCATTGGATCATAATGAAACTCTTCGTACTCAAGTTAATATCCCCCAAACTTATTATTTGATGAGCAAATTTGATGATGCAAAAAATAATCTAGAAGAAACTATGAAAAATCTGGAATAATGATCCACGTATTATTGAGTTGTACAATCAGTTGGGTGAAGTTGCATTAGAAAAACGAGATTATGACATGGCTTACTTATATTTTAAAGAAGTGCTGGAAAAGCCATTAGGCTCATCATTTTATCAAATGCCATTAATTGCTGACACGTGCAACAATTTAGGAATAGTATTGATGCATAAGCAATCATGTGATCAAGCTGTTGAATATCTGCTTAAAATTATCAATAAAAACTAAAGACTATTAGCCAGGATAATCGTTTGATTGCTAGTATTTATTTAGAAATTAGTAATCTATACAAGAAACAAGAATAGTATGATTTAGCATTATCAAATTATAACGAATGTTTTCATATTCAAAAGAAAATTTTGAATGAAATTGATATTGAAAGAACGCAACATTTGCCAAATATTGGCCTCGTGCACATGCCATGGAAAATTTTGAATTTGCAATGAGTTACTACAATGCAGCTTTATCTATTCAGCTAGCTTCCTACATCAACAATCCTCAAACTGCTGTAACTTACCTAGCCTTGAGTAAGCTTCATCTTCATACTTATTCAAATTATTCTGAAGCACTATCTAATTACCAAAAGGCCTTGCAAGTCTGCAAACATTCAGTTTTCTCGAGTAGCAGTCCAGGATAAATTAAACTCTTAGATCATATCAAATCTATTGGTATTCATCTGGCCACAACAGCACAACAAAGCACTAATTATGACGATGCTCATTCTTGTTTCGTTCAAGCGCTTGAAATATGAACAAAAGAAACCCTCAACATTAGTAGATCCATGAATCATAGCTAATTTGCTTAAACATATCGCTACTATTTCATTAACTCAATGCAAATATGAGATCGCACTAGACATGTACTTTAAAGCTTTAGAATTTCGTTTAAAAAAGATTGGTCACGATTATCTTGAAACAACAACAATCTATAAAAATATAGGCTTTATGGGTGTGAGTGTGGGCGTAAATTATAAGAGGAGTGATGCTTTGCTTACACCTACCCACAGCCACACCCACCCTCGTGGCAAATATGCGTATTTTTGTCCCATTGGATGAAAAAGACATGCTTTTGATGTTAGCGATAATTATGATGAGAAGTTTAAAGGGTGGTCTTTTTGTTATCATGGTACAAAATTTGATTATGGCTTATCAATCTAGTTGAGTGGATTGGTATTAGCTAGAATTGTAGTACTGGGTAAAGGAATATATGCAAGCCAATCAATTATTTATTCATCTCATCCAAGATATGCTGAAATCAAACGAATTGAATCATCAGATGAAAAGACTTTTTTTAAATGGGAAATATGTTCAATTTGTATTACAATGTCGCGTTCAACCGAATAACATAAAAGTAGAACCTGAAACATTAGAGGTTGGTGGAAAAGTCAGTATTGATCCGAATTGAACCAATGATGTTATTGAATGGGTTATTGATGCTAAAAATAAAGATCTAATGGATTTCAGTGATCTGGATTCTACTATTGCTTGTACAGAATTAATGATACGTGTTACAGATAATCATCCTGGTTTTTTACCTGAATCACAATGGTGGCATTCAGGACACATTTGTAACAATAAAAGTTGTTGCTATTTAGGTATTGATCTCAGCGAACTAATGAAATAAAAAAGCAATGGTGTAAAATATAATTTTATTTATGAATAACTAAAGGCTTGTTCAGGCAATCAAAAATGGTCAAAAAATGCCGTTTTTTTTAACGACTACCTAAAAACACGTCGGTTTCAAAAAAGTGTTACGTTTCGATAACGTGAAAACAAGTGTATTCAATTTAATAAACGACGTTTTCATATTATTTTTCTCCTCGTTGTTTTTTCTTTTCTGTGTAAATGGTATTATAAAGCGATTTAGCGAAACACGATTGATAATGAGTGTTGAATTATTGGTGTGGATATGGGTATAAATGTTCCCTTTTTCTACTACCATACTCCACACCCACGCCCTGTCACCTTACCACTAATTTACCTCTACCATAGTTGTGTCTTCGTGTTCCAAAAAAAGACTTTAGTTTCTAACAGCGCTTCAAAGTCGGCATATTTTGATATATTATTAACGCAAAAAACTACACCAGATGAGATATAATTCACTAAAAGTTGTTTTTGATACAAAAACGGCTCTCAGAGGTACCACGACAAGATTTTTCGGAGAAATGTTGAGGAAAAATGCAGGTGAGGTTTTTGTAAAAAAAACAGAATTTTGCCAAAATATATTTGATGCGATGTAAGTTTTGCGCAGATTTCAGACCTGCTCTTTATTTTACTCTCATATAATTCTAGGCTGTAAAAAAAGTACTAAATATGCACATCATTTAAACAGCTTTGTATACGGTTATGACACTTAGCGCAACAACTGTGGTTTCTACCAAAATCCTGTGCATATCTGTTTGGCTGTGAGTAGTTTCTTAAACGATGCAATAGCTCGAGCGCCTGTAGAAACTGAAGTCATATTTTGGGACACAAAAAATTAACAGTGTTAAAAGTGAATTACAGCCAAAGGAACACTCATATGCCATAGATTTCCTTTTCCTTGTGAAAGTATGCTCACTTCCTACAAGTTAAAAGTTATTGTGATTATTATTGACATAGCCAATTTTGTACAGAATGCTTTTAAAATATCATCAACCTCGAAAAAAAGATACTTTTATAAATTATTTTGAGCTAATCCAAAAAAATTGGAGAATTGTGATCTTCGGCATTTTTCGTAAGTATATCATAATGTCTTTGTATGATAGATGCATAAGTTTCATAATATGACCTCTCATTTGACATGAAGAATTCTAATAAAGTTTAGCTGCGACTGGCTTAGGTAGTGGTCTAGCGAAACCCTACTAAATATCTAGCTGCCTGATTTTGTTTGGAAATCTTAAGAAAAATATAAAATCAATTTAATGAGAAAATAGACCGAACATTAATTCGACTAATCAATACTTTCAACAAAAACCTTTTTTTACTTGCCTTTATTTAATAGATTTAAAATGTCGTTGGATGTTAGTTAGATAAGCAGTAAGAGACTGATGAAGTTGTTTTTTGTAAAATTTTGATGGTACTATAAACACTACGAATGTCAGCATAGTTGGAATAAATGAAATAAAATATCCAATAAGAAATAGCCATGCATCATCTGTTGATTTCATACATTTTGATAAAAATAAAAGGATTAAACGTGGTAATGCAAGAATAACTAATACAACTGGAGCAGTAAATAAATGTTTATATTGTTGAATTTGTTTTTGTAAATGTTCTTTATAAGGTCGACCCGTCTGAAGATTCGATTGTTGACGAGCTTTTTTTGTTATTAGAATAATAGCTGATATGAGATTAATAATGAATGGAGTCAAAAAGTGAAAAGTATGTACAATAGAATTAAATATTTGTACACTAGTTGGATAAGTAATAATGCACCATACTCGTTTATCATCTTCACTTTCCTCATCAATTAAACGTCGATAAAAAGGATCATAAATTGCTGTACCAATAATGAGAATCGAAAGAATAACAATAACTATTTTAGCTATTTGTTTACTTTTTTGCTTACTAAAATGTGTAGCTTTTATTATTGTCATTGCGCGTTCCATGGCAACAGCCGCATTTAACCAGTGATCTAAATTAAGAGAAACTCGTAAAATAAAATCCAGAGATAAACATTGAATTTGTAAAAATAATCTATTAGATATAAGTGCCATTTGTGCAAGTAAAAGTATCCAAAACTTCAATCCAAATATAATCGTTGTAAGTAAAGTGGTTATTGATGAACCTAATAGATATAAACCACAACCAACTTCACATACAGTTTTATTGCTGAATGTAATTACAGCTAAAATTCCATTGATAAATCCTACTACCATAAAGATTATAGTCAATGCTAAACTTGTTTTTACAATATTTGGTTGATGTATAAGACTAATATGTGGTTGAACATGATAGCCTAAGATAGCATCAAGTGATAAACCAAATCCATTCGAACTAAATTGACATCGTGTTCCATAAAAACATGATGGACAAATACACATTGACCTTTGTGGACAATCTGGACTGTCTTGAAAACATTGACCTTCATTTTCACAGGCACTTTCACCTAAACAATCAAATTTCATATCATGATTAAAATCAAAACAATTGGCTAAACGTTTTTGTCCATAATCATAACATAGACAAATATGACTATCATCCTAAAAACAAGAAAGATTTGATGAATAGTTTTGACATGGTAAATGATAATATTTGATACGACGAAGAGCATGCATCTGAACAAAAGTTTCATTAAATAATTCATTTATATGTTGACAACGAGCTGATGAATTTATCATTTTAGTAATTTTTGTTGATCGCTCATAAGTTTTTTGAATAACAGCTAAATAATAAATTTTATTTAGAAGTTCAATGAACATAAGATGAAATGGTTGTGACCAATAAAGAGCAAGTAAATGTTGTGTAAGGGGAATTGTTCGAAAAGTAGTCGTTCTGATCGGTGTACTATCATTTACAACTTGAATGAAATGAATAAATATCGATTGCGATAAAACAATATCGTTCCCAAATGATAGAATAATTTTTGTATCAGCTATTTCACATCGATCACCAATATAACCTTTTGGACAAAGACATATAAATTTGTGATTCGATATCGTATATTCATCAGTAGGAATGCATTGACCACCATTTTGACATGTTAAATTCTTATCCATGTCACAAATTGTATTGACAAGGAGACATTGATAACCAAATTTATTAATAGGACAAACACATACAGACTGATTGTAAGCAGAGACCCCAAAATATAATGAATCAGATGAGCACATAGAAGTATGTGGAATAGTACAATAGCGTCCAGACCATCCTTGATAGCATTGACAAAAACTAGTATTTTGTTGGTTATTTAAATACATGATACATTTTCCATGAATACATGGAGAGTTCGAACAACTTTTAATATTTTCATTATTTCGAGGAATATCAACTTTATATGCTACACGATAAACAGGTAAGAATGGAAATATTATTGGAAATAATAAACTTCCTCGATAAGATAATGAAACTTTTTCATAGATATCAATATGTATTGCATAATTTTTTGTTTGATTTTTTGGTCGAGTTGAATAAAGCAAATAAATATTAAATTTGATTTTACAATCTCTTATCGACAAATAAGTGAACTGTTCATATGAATGAATAATTATTTCATTACTATCATCAATAAGTGAAATAATCATTGAAAATAATGTTGACCAAGAATCTGATAATGCTCGAAATTTAATAGTCAAACTTACTCGTTGATTTTGATATTGACATTGATTACCATAAAAACTAGGTGGACAAAGACATATATTTGTTGTTAAGTTCTTTTCATTGTTTAACAATATACGTAAATCAAAACCACGATGACATCGAGATTCGTGTTGATGAAATAGTTCGATGATAGATGAACTTGAAAATATCGTTTTTATCACATTCTTAGTTTGACCTTCTACAGGTTTGCTCATTCCATCCAATGAAAAATATTTAATTTGTTGCTTTATCTTGTACTTTGTTTCATGACATAAAAATTGCTCGGCATCAGAACGAATAAAAAAAAATGACGAATGACAAATACCCAAATAGATAGAAATATTTAAGCGATTGCTTACACAAAATTTTTCATCATCATTGCCATAATCACAAAATGTGTCACCATTACATAGAGATTCAGAAGGAATACATGACTGTTGGTTTTGTTTCATGCAGTAAAAATTATTGAAAAATTTTACTTGATATTTCGTTTGACATAATGTTGGTTCATCAGTAGCACCAAGACAATCGATATTGCCATCATTTGCTTTCTCAACAGATAGGCATGTAAGTTGATTTGTGTAAGATGAAACACATTTGTGATGATCTGAAGGGCAATTTAATGCTGAAGATAAATCACAACCAATTTCATCTTCACCATGCCGACAATTCCATAAACCATCACAACGAGTATAAATGTTATTGCATGGCCATTGTTCGCATTCTGTTTCATCTGTTTCATTTTGTCCTTCGATAGTTATTGGAATGAGTTCAGTGAATCCATCACATATAGTTGAAAATGAAATATTCTTTCTGACATAGTGAATATGAAAGTATTCATCGTCACACCAATCGTAGTCTGCAAGTTGACATTCGCAATTTTCATTTTGAACAAGTGATTGATGTATGATCTTGTTAGCCATTTCGCATTTGAAATGGTTCTTTAAAAGTTTCGTTAAATTAGCGTAAATGATTTGCGTTAGGTTTTCGTCATCACTGTGAGGACAGTCGTGTTTACGATCCATGAGACGATTTACTGGGATACATTTGACCGAATTCAAACACTGGTACATGTTGGATGTATTACAAATTGTAGCAGTATAGTTAATAATTAGAGTAAATTGCTTCAAGTCTCTATGTAGTTGTAATAACGGCTTATGATATCTTGGCTCCCATCCAGTCGCCAAAGTCATATGAGACCCAAGCACAGGAGGACGGAAACATGTTCTATTTTTAAAAAAAGTTTTTGGGCAATCAATAAAATACTCATCATAAAGAGAATTGTTATAGCATACATAAGGTGATGCGAAATGTCTATTGGCCAAAACTAATGAATCATTTATTGTGTGTGCAAGGTAAATGTGACCAAAAAAAATCGGAACATTCGGAATGTAAAGCATATCTGGACATGTATTTTGTATGATCTCAACACAAGCGAATTTTTGACAAATATTAGTACACAATGGCATTTCTGAGCCAGATACTTCCAAGAGACATTTAAATGCTGACCAACATTGTTCAGATATCGAATTGTCTTTAGTAGAATAGATTGCTTTCAATAGTAAGGTTTTGCGTTGTGACACACAAGAATTTGTCACGAAAGTATACCGACATATCCTTTCTTCGCAATCAAATGATGGCATGACTTTATTACAGTAGGTCAATGCTTCACCATATTTTGGAACTTCGTCAGAACCATCAAGACAATCAGGAGTATTAATATCATCTCGGAAAAATGACTGTGGTATACATTGTCCATTAGTACATCGATATTCATTATCACTACATTCATTTATTTCAAGTTTCCAACAATGTTCTTCATCAAAATCACCATCGAGACAATGCACTTGTCCATCACATATTTCACTCCAATCTAAACATGCTGGAAAAGGACCACGATTACATTGTAAATGAGTATAACAGGTGAAATTAGTAGAATTATATTCATATAAAAGATAATAATCACGAAT